CAGGTGGTCCTACTGCCACATTGTACAGTTGCCTAAAATGCCCTGACGCGAATACAAAGAGCAGCACTGAATGTTTTTTATGGTAAGCGCAGACCCGGGGTTTGTCACATTTGATTTCAAAAAGGTTTGTTAAATACATTGACATTATGAATTTGGTTATGAAAAAAACTATGCACTTATAACCCTCTCACAACGAAAAAACTTGTATCTGCGTGTCCACATCCATAAATATTACCATCAAAAGAGCACGCAATGCTCAGTAAACTCTCTAAAACAGACAAACTCTAAAACATAGCAACTTACTCTCTGAACATAACCTGCTCCGGAGCAGGTTATCTTCAGAGAGTAAGTTGCTATGGCTACTTAACATACCCAGAAGTTACCTTCGATTTTGGAACCAAAGTTGAGGTTATCCACCTACTTACTCTCAAACTTACCCGGGTATGTCACATAACCTGCTTTCTGGAACAGCCCCCAGCTTAATATGTAAGCATCATCTTTGTGTTTGTACACAGTCTCTTCTCTGTAGGCACCATGCATGCTTCAAAATTGCCATTTGCGTTAGGTATCTCGTTACCCTTTTAGTCATAACAGGTAGTATGGAATGCCAATCAAGGAAGTTAATGACACGCAAACACATCTCAAGAAGGTTTTCACAGCTACTGTGTTTCATCCACCAAACACTGATCTCAAGTTAAAGGGAGATTTTCAAGAACGACCCAGGTGGGACTTGAACCCACAAGTCCCCAGCTCCGGAGGCTGATGCCTTATCCATTAGGCCACTGGGCCATGTCACCAATCTTCTATCAAGGATCTCTTGTACGCCTTCAACAAGATGCTACCGCATGGAAAACTGCACTTTAGGATCTCGATGACAGTTTGCATTCTATCAAATAAGAACTAATGGCCAAACATTTTCATTCTGCAATCATTCACATTCGTGTCTCATCGGTTCTGGGGTATGGTTCTAGTGTATAGTGTGACTGGTCTTGAGAGTTTCGAATTCCAGTCAAGGCCACTCTCATTAACTTGAAATCACAACCTTTCTGCAGCTAGTTTGCATTTCATCATCATCCACCTAACATGAGACCGTCAATTGAGAGCCACGGGGTACTTGAAGTCAAGATCTCTATTCCCAGAGCTTAGCGGAACCTTTTAGGTTTGTAACATGACAGTGAGATTCAAGCAAGATTGGATGAATCCTAATTGAAGTGTGCAGCAAGTCTGAGAATTGGAAGCTAACTATTGCCCTCAGATCATCACACCTAAGCTTTGAGTAGACAAGTCAGGATTTTTTCAAACAACTTAAATGTAACCTAACAAACACAACCCAAACAGGACTTGAATCCACAATCCCCAACTTCAAAGAGTGATGCCTTATCTATTAGGCCACTGGGCCAATACTAGCATTTGCCATATCTGTTGTATGACTCCGGACGTTCTTTTAACCTAGAAAACAGCACTTAAGGATCCCTATACCATATTGCATTCAGACGATCTGGTGTGTACACCTAATGACAAAACAGCTTCTCTGAAGAGTTTTCCATTGTCATGTCTTTTTGACCTACGGGTATGAACCTAGCTTTTGAAGGTCACAGTGGATTGTGCTGCACAGCCAACTTAAAAGGAACTGCATCAAAGGCAACCCAGGTGGCACATACTAAAAACAAGAACAAAAAGTATTTATAAAAAAGTAAGAATTTTTTTTGGCACTGCAGGGTCTTTCTTCAGGGCTCGTTGGGTATGATTCTCGCTTAGGATGCGAAAGGTCCTGGGTTCAATCCCTGGACGAGCCCTACAGTTGTCACAGAAAAAGCAGTGGAACTTTGGCATTTCTACATTAATTGTAGCACCTTTTGCTGTGACTTTAGTTAATGAACATTTAGTGGACTTCTAATTTAAATTAGTTTAACATGTACAATTATACAGACAAAACTGTCTGCTACCCTCAGGCAGATGGTTCCGCAGCATCTGGTCACGCACCAGCCGGCTAAAAGAAAAATTTCTTCCCTCAGACTATCAGGCTGATGAACACTTAATACACAACACACAGACTCTTCCATACCCTCACTGCACAACATCGATATGTAGCATGCACTGACTTTTAGCCAATCCATACTTGAAACAACACTGCCTACAACTATGTGGACACCTATTCATTGTACATATCGCTGTCAATTTCACATTGTCATTTTATTTGTCTGTTATTTGTACTGTCGTTGTATTTGCACTGTCATTTTTTTGCACTACATATTTTTTACTGTTTGTACAGATAATTTTTCATGATTTTTGGTGAATTTTTCATTTTTCATGATTTTTGGTGATTTTTCAAGATTTTTTATGATTTTTCAAGATTTTTTCAAAAAATTTTCATCTTTTGCGATTTTTCAAAAAATGTTCATTTTTGTGATTTTTCAAAAAAATTTAATTTTTTGTGATTTTTCAAATTTTTTTAATTTTTTGTGATTTTTTGCGATTTTTCAAAAAAATTTCATATTTTGCGATTTTTCAAAAAATGTTCATTTTTGTGATTTTTCAAAAAAGTTTCATTTTTTGTTATTTTTCAAAAATTTTTCATTTTTTGTGATTTTTTGCGATTTTTCAAAAAAAATCATATTTTGCGATTTTTCAAAATAATTTCATTTTCTGTGATTTTTAAAAAAATGTTAATTTTTTGTGATTTTTCAAAAAATTTTCAATTTTTGTGATTTTTTGTGATTTTTTAAAAATTTTCAATTTTTGTGATTTTTTGAGATTTTTCCAAAAATTTTCATTTTTTGTGATTTTATGCGATTTTTCAAAAAATTTTCATCTTTTTTAATTTTTCAAAATTTTTTCATTTTTTGTGATTTTTCAAAAAAATTTCATTTTTTGTGATTTTTCAAAAAAATTTCATTTTTTGTGATTTTTCAAAATTTATTCATTTTTTGTGATTTTTTGCGATTTTTCAAAAAAATTTCATATTTTGCGATTTTTCAAAAAAATTTCATTTTTTTGTGATTTTTCAAAAAAATTTCATATTTTGCGATTTTTCAAAAAAATTTTATTTTTTGTGATTTTCTGCGATTTTTTAAAAATTTTTAATTTTTTGTGATTTTTCAAAAAATTTTCAATTTTTGTGATTTTTTGTGATTTTTCAAAAAATATTCAATTTTTGTGATTTTTTAAGATTTTTCAAAAAATGTTCATTTTTTGTGATTTTATGCGATTTTTCAAAAAATTTTCATCTTTTGCGATTTTTCAAAAAATGTTCATTTTTTGTGATTTTTCACAAATTTTTCATTTTTTGCGATTTTTCAAAAAATGTTCATTTTTTGTGATTTTTCAAAAATTTTTATTTTTTGTGATTTTTTGCGATTTTTCAAAAAGAAATCATATTTTGCGATTTTTCAAAATAATTTAATTTTTTGTGATTTTTCAAAAAATTTTCATTTTTGCGATTTTTTGCGATTTTTCAAAAAATTTTCATATTTTGCGATTTTTCAAAAAATTTTCATTTTTTGTGATTTTTCAAAAAAATTTCATATTTTGCGATTTTTCAAAAAAATTTCATTTTTTGTGATTTTCTGCGATTTTTAAATTTTTTTCATTTTTTGTGTTTTTTCAAAAAATTTTCAATTTTTGTGATTTTTTGTGATTTTTCAAAAATTTTTAATTTTTTTGCGATTTTTCAAAAAATTTTATTTTTTGTGATTTTATGCGACTTTTCAAAAAATGTTCATCTTTTGCGATTTTTCAAAAAATGTTCATTTTTGTGATTTTTCAAAAAATTTTCATTTTTGTGATTTTTCAAAATTTTTTAATTTTTTGTGTTTTTTGCGATTTTTCAAAAATTTTTCATCTTTTGCGATTTTTCAAAAAATGTTCATTTTTGTGATTTTTCAAAAAATTGTAATTTTTTGTGATTTTTCAAAAATGTTTCATTTTTTGTGTTTTTTTGCGATTTTTCAAAAAAATTTCATATTTTGCGATTTTTAAAAAAATGTTCATTTTTGTGATTTTTCAAAAAAATTTCATTTTTTTTTTTTCGAAATTTTTTCATTTTTTGTGATTTTTAGCGATTTTTCAAAAAAAATCATATTTTGCGATTTTTCAAAATAATTTCATTTTTTGTGATTTTTCAAAAATTTTTCATTTTTGGTGATTTTTAGAAAAAATTTCATTTTTAGTGATTTTTCAAAAAAATTTCATTTTTTGTTATTTTTTCACAAATTTTTCATTTTTTTGTGATTTTTAGAAAAAAATTCATTTTTTGTTTTTTTTTCAAAAATTGTTCATTTTTGGTGATTTTTCAGAAAAAATAAAAATTTTTGTTATTTTTCAAAAAATTATAATTTTTGGTGATTTTTAGAAAAAAATAAACTTTTTGTTATTTTTCAAAAAAATTTCATTTTTGTTGATTTTTCAAAAAAATTTCATTTTTTGTTATTTTTTCAAAAATTTTTCATTTTTTGTGATTTTTCATAAAATTTTCATTTTTGGTGATTTTTCAAAAAATTCATTTTTTGGTGATTTTTCTAAATTTTTTTATTTTTTGTTATTTTTCAAAAAATTTCGATTTTTTTTATTTTTAAGAAAAAAATTGATTTTTTGTTATTTTTTAAAAATATTTCATTTTTTGTTCTTTTTCAAAAATTCAGCCGTCAGCCGCCGTTTTCTATCGGCCGTACTCCAGGACGGTGATGTCCAGCCACCGAGCTTGGGGAATGGGCCAGCAACCCCTGTCTCCTGACGGCGCTGTACTTGCAGCAGACGTACCTGTGCTTGCAAACCACCTGTTCCATCTGTTTTCTTTCTCTACAGATGCCGTTTTTCTCTGCTTAGTTTCTGATTTGGTCTATTTGGACATGTCGACCTCCTGCTTTGCTGCGGTTTGGACCGCCTTTGCCTAGAGCTCCGTGCTTTGCACTTTTGCCTTGTATATTTTGTGTCCTGTTTTCTTACGTCAGCCTATCAGCACAGTGCTCAAACGACATAGCTTGAAGAACACGACGGGATCTACAAACGTTCCGCAAAAGAACTTCACTAACGAAAGCGGAAGCGCTAACGAAACAACCTCCCGCTGCAAGCACCTGACATTCCTGAGACGGCAAACCACCGACGGCTGGCAGTTGAATCCAAGATTGGAGTCCCACCAACAAAAAGGTTCATATCGGTCTACGAGCCTAATATATCATATTATAGTAGACTGGGCAGAGTCATGGTATCATATGACACCAAGAAGAATTCATGGCACTGTCCCTGTGCAAAAACCCAGAGATCATGTACCCATAAATACATAGCAAAATGGCACCTCTGTCAAATTCACCCTGAACTCTTCCGAAAAGTTCCGAGCACTGAAAGCGCTGAAGAATTTCAGGCAGCAGCGATGGAGGAAAGTGATGAAAGTGAGAATTACCCTCCAAAGGACATTGCTAAAGTAAAGAGCATAGTAGAATACATCTTAATGAATAAAAAGCTACCATCTACTATTCCCAGTCATTTGAGGCTTTCTTCAGACTATAAGGAATTTCCAAAACACCTAATCCCTGATGAGACAATGTGCTACCACTGCTCAGACCGCACATTGCTCAGTGATCCTGTCTGCATTACACGTAAAGCGAAAATTCTTACAACTACAGGAATTGTCCAAGGTGGATAATTGTTACTTACATTTTTTATTTTATTTTAATTATGAAAAAGATACTAAACCATTTAATTTACATTCTGTATCTGCAGATATTTCAACCTACTACAAATTCTGTTCTTTCTGTGGAATGGTGTACCGTTACCAAGAGTGGGCTAATGGTTTGCATAACTTCAATGACCATGTCCTCCTTGAACTCTCTCTCTGCCTCACCATAAGAAACCTGTTGCAGGTAATCGTTATACAATACATATATTATATGTTATACAATATATTATTTTTTACAACAATAGGATTTCTTCATAGTGTTGATTTTATGTTAGGCAACATTAGGTACATTCAAATCAAGACTATTATGTTTTCTGTTTTTAACTGTTTTTTAAATCATTTTTATTCTTTGTTTTTATTGTCTTATACTTGTCTCTTTTATTCTTGTTTATGTAAAGCACTTTGAATTACCATTGTGTATGAAATGTGCTATATAAATAAACTTGCCTTGCCTATATAAGTACTGATTAACTGTGATTTCTTTATCATAGGTGCATACAGCAGTCAGCAGAGTAGTGGAGTACTTGGAGGTAACTACAGGTGTACAGTTCCCCTCAGCAGTTACTCTTCTCCACGGCTATCTGCATTTTGAGGCCGTAACTGACCATGAATACGAGTATTCATGTGTATCTTGTGGTGACCATCCACCTGTGGTCATAATGGACCTCCACAAGAAGGCATTCTTTCATCTCTCTGGTAAATATCTTTCCTTTTTACTGCAGAGAGGTAAGTCTTATTAGTAAAACTATTAGTAAGTTTATAGTATGTATTTATTTTCTTTAGTGCGTGATCTTTCACAGCCTCCACAAGATTTTAATGGAGAGGTGGATTTAGATATGTTTTGGAAGGCACTGACAGAAGAACGAATTGCTCGAGGATTTTTTTCAAGTAAGGAAATTTATTATATCAGGAATGGCATGTCATCATTATTTAATTTCATAAGTGTTTTCAGGAGTACAATCTAAATTCACTGATGTATTAACATGTTTGTTTGTCCTAAAGGTCAAAAAACAATCCATTTTGTGTTACACCTAGTTACAACTTTTGGGCACCCTGGATCGGGAGTAAGACTCATATAGCGAATGTTGTTCTCAACACTGAATTTGAGAAAGTGCACAAAGCAAAAACTGCAGAACGAACAGAATAACTGTCTCTGAAGATCGCTTAAAGGACGAACTTTCAAAACAGAAAGTAAAGTATTTAATGCTAATTATATGTATTATTTGTCAGTGTTGGCATTTCATTTAACATGTGTGTTTTATGTGATAGGTGGGAGTGATAAGAAGACTGTGTCAAGAGTGTGGTTTAGATGCCAAAGGCTCTCGCACAGATCTACTCCTGCGACTTTCGGAGGAGATGAGGTCAAGGGAGGCCTATGACAAGGTTTTTGAAAAGATTTGGGCTGCTTCAGGTAAACCTCAATGTTGCACATTAAAATATTACAAATAAATCAGAAATGTACAAAGTCACATAGACCAAATGGGTCCTGTTTTCTGCTTGGCACTGATTGGGGAGTGACTGGTGGTGTACAGCTCTGGGGGGTGTTGGAGGTGGCCTCGTCTGACACCTATTGTTGCTTTCCGTGTGGGGGAGTGTATTTACATCTCTGAGGCACTGCATCTTTAAATTTTTTAAAAGTATACTTTGTTAAGGTTAATGCCACTGCCCTCCATCATAACCTTTGGTCATTTAAGTCCCAATGTCATTAATGGGATTTGATTATGTTTTCTTAACTATTTGCTTATCTTGTGGCATAGTTTACAGTATAAAATGTAATCTGCGAGCAGAAAGTCCACGGGATTTTGCAGATATGCTTCTGTCTTGGGAGCATCTGCCTAATGTTGTTATTTATGACTTTGCCCGTGGACTGTCCACCCACACAAACTTGAGGCAACCCATAACTTTCACACCTTTCGAGGGAAGGTTACTCGAACCAACCACTGAAAATATTGCAAAAGCAAAATCAGGAAAATTACAGGTAACTCTGCCATGGCTCACTGCAAAAAAGCAAAGTCCAGATCCGGATGGTCATCCAATAACTGGTTCTGCAGAACACTATGTTCTGTATGACCGCTTTCACGAAGACAACACAAAAGATCCTCGTGATTCACTGAGGAAGCTTCGTCTTGTGCCTCAACTAGCTGGCAAAGTTAACAGTCAGGCTGCAGAACTGCTTTTTTCAAAGCTAAAGAAAAATAACTACTTTATGAACATGGCATTGCCATCCACACATGTTTTCCTCATGCGAAACATCATCCACCATTACAATGTCAGAAAAAACGAGAAACGTCTTCATGACATAAAAAAGGAATTCAACACAAACATTCACATGAATGACCACAGCCAGGTTGTGTTAGGTAATGTTTCCCTTACTTTGTAACAAATACATCACTTTATCCATAACTGTACTTATGTGTATATTTGTATTTATAGAAAATCCATCCTCCACAGAGAAATGCATGGACATGTCACTTGGTAATTTGACTGTTCTTTCCAGTTGCTCAGTGTTAAGTTTCTGTTCTCTAATTATTATGTGTTATTTTCAAATTTTGATGCTTTAATGTACTCTAAGGACCACTGACAGCACTGCCAGAAAATATTGTGACTTTACAAACGACCGCTGCATCACCAGGCATAACATCAGTCACATCTTCTCTGTCATCAGTACCAATTACAGAAAAAACAGCTTGTGAACCTACCACTCTTCTGAATTTTTTTGAACCAACTAAGCCTTGGGAGAGGTACTGGCATCCATTACAAGAGAAACTGGTGAACAATTACCATTACATACAAACGCACACACACACACATATTTATTGTTATTATTATTACAGCTTGATTATGTGCTGGACCGAAATCGCCCTGGCAGTGAAATAATTGTGAAGGAGGGGCAAGTGTGCCTTATTCGAGAAGAATTTTGGAGCCTTGGATTGTTGAGGGACATGGACTCCCATGTAAGCAGTCTGTTTTTTTATTATAACTTTTTTTTTATTAAAAACATTGACTTATCAAAGTATTTATTGCAGATTGGAAACGCCTGCATGAAGCTTATTTGTGAAATGGCTCGACAAATTGTATGTATAAAACATAATATTTATATAGATTGTTTTAACTTGATCCAAAAAAAAAAAAAAAACAATTTCTAAACTGTGTGAAAATGTTCATGTCATTGTCAACAGTTTCTTTTTATTCATGTAGGGCAAGGACATATACATTGAGGACTTTTATGTTGTCCCTGTGTGGAAAGAAACTCCTAACAACATTGTTACTGGATTACCGGTGCATGTATGTACTGTATTTACTGTGTGAGAAGTACAACCTAAATTAAACGACAAAACTGTCCTGATCAATTCTAGGAAGATGCAGACTTGAAAAACCTGTTAGCCTTTCCAGCATGGACAAATGCCAATGGACCAGACCGCTTTGTTGTCTGTGTAAGAAAATATTGAAATGTCTAGTGCATACATTAATTGGTATTGCAATGTGTGTGTTTCTAAAATAAAACACTGAAAAATCTTGGAAGAAGCAATAATGTTCAAATGAAATATTTTTACACCTTTAACATTATAGATAATGATGCCGCTTCGAAGAGAGATGGTGTTTTTAGACTCTCTGTACGCAGAGCATGAATCAGGATTTGGAGATGAGGAATACAGGGCAATTTTTAGGTCTATCAATAAACTAAGACGTTTCAGCCTTTATGTGATATATGGCTACGTTCCTATAGCCGATTCTATTTATTTCCTAACCGTGTATTATAGTTCTGTCACTTTTGGCTACGTTCCTATAGGCGTTTCTTGAACTTCTGGCTATGTTCATCTAGCCTTTTTTATGCATCGTGTTCTAGAGTTAAGGTGAGCTGTAATTGTTAGTATTACTACTATGTTTTGTTTACAGGAAAATTGCTTACCAAGTGGATCATTGGACATGGACTGAAAAGACTGGATATGATTTTCCAGTGAGGAATCAACTTAAAAAATATATATTATTTGGCTTTTACAACAATTAAATTTTTTGTACATTATTCTAAAATAAAATTGATTTGCTTTGCCTATTTTAGGCTTTGCCACATCAGACAAGAGGGAATGATTGTGGTGTTTTTGTACTCATGGTAAGATATAAATTGAGTTAATTGATTTAAAGATTTTGTAAACATTGTAAATGACTGTGGCTTCTCTCTTTTCAGTACACCCTCTCAATGGTGTGTGGCATTGGGTTTCAATTCCAGGAGGTATTATTTTATTATTTATGTAACTTTATTTTGTTGGTGCTTTTTTTAATCATAGCTAAATGTAACTATTTTAGTGTATATTATCTTGCTTTCTTCTAAGCAACATATCTTTTAAAAAAAGGGGGCATGGTTATTGCAAGCACACCCAACATCATGTATTAACAAAAACATGTTGGTTAACTGTCAGACTAAACAGTCTTTCTTTCAGATGGATATACCTATCATCCGTCAGTGGTGGTGCCTTCTACTCATGGAACGATTTTAAATTGATGGGTATGTCAGTATTTATTTATTTTTCTTGTAAATCTGTAAAATTAAAAATTTATATTGAGTCAATACAACAACTTGTAACATGAATAACAAAACATACTTAAAATCTCTCTTACTCGGTCCCAGTAACTCCCCTCGCTGGCCAGCAGAGGCCACCATCTCCGGACTTTTAGCATTACGTCATCCATCTACACTGATTGCGCATACACCTGATTGGAATCTGGCTAATGACCCACGTACCTCTTATAAGCCGCACTCAAACACTCGTTCAAGGCGAAGTCTTGTTTAGCCCCGGCCAGCATTTCTGAGCATTATCTCCAGCCTGATCTCCTGTGCACGACTCCAGCCTGTCTCTTACTTTGCTTCGCCTTCTGCCTGCCCACGACCCACGCTTGTTATACGGACTCTGACTCTCTCTCTGCCTGCCCACGAACCACGCCTGTTATACGGACTCTGATCCTTGCTGCCTGCCCTTGACCCAAGCCTGCATAACGGATCCTGGTTCTCGCTCAGTCCCTTCCACTCATGCCTGGTAACTCACTCTGTGTCTGTTCATCATCAGTCTTGATACCCATACTACTACTGTGGATGTGTGTGTGTGCACTCCGGTGCATATTGTGTGTTTGAGTGAAGTTGTGATTAATAAATACTGCATAATGGATCCCTCCGTGTCAGTCTCCTCGTTACACAGTAATTATGGATTTTGTCTTGTCTTGTTATTAAAAGCTATGGGCACAGATTTGCTTTCTGGACTGAGGCGACAAGAAGTGTCTTGGATGGAAAGATTCTGCTCCTTTTTAGGGTGAAAAGAAAAACCACATCCAATCTTCCGGCACATGTCCAAGCAGTTCAAGATCGGGAAAGGAATGACAAAAGATTAGTGGACTTGATTATCACATCAAAATCAGCAGAGCAGCATTTGGTGGTATAGATGGTTCCACTTTAAATTACTCCTCTAGACTCTGAGTATGGCTGACTTAAATATAGTCAAGTGACAATTTAACTATTATTTGCCAAATATAATTAATTAATTAATTGTGCATTTACATATGAAATATAATTTCCTTTTATGGCCCAAAGGATATACTCGGTGGAAAAAGGTCAAATTGGTTTCCACTAAAACCCCGTTCTCAAGTGCCTGTCTACATTGAGAATGAGCAGTCCCAGTCAATCATTTGTGACTACATCAGAGGAATTCTTAATAAAACCAAAACACAGCTGACCTTCAGTGATGAGGTGGAGTTCATTTGTGGATGTCTCCTCCCAGAGGTAATCACAAAACATGTATGTACATGAGCATGCTTATGTTTTGCAGTGTGTGTTTTATTTTATTAATTGGTTTATCTGTATGTTTGTACAGGCCATAACTCATGGCATTTCCGAGTTACAAGGCTTGTCTTGGCAGGAGGCTGAAGATGTCTTCCTCCAGGGCCCCATTTATCACGCAAGGTATGTTTACATTTTTTTTTTTGTACAAAAGCTGTTAAGTTTTTATGTTAAACACAATTTCTGACAACAGCATTTATTTTTTTTTTAGTGAAGTTGAGGAATTTAACAGAAGAATTGCTCGAGAAATGAAAAATCTCCCCAACAAGAATGTAAAGCATTTTATTTTATATGTAATAAATACATTATTAATCCAAGTATTGTTTTTCACAATTTTTCTCCGCATTTTTTTACAGCTTAATGACTTGTAGGACCTCATGAAAATTTATAAAAAAATAAAGTTTGGTGTGAGAAAATTACTCCGAGTACTATCATTTATTCTGTGAATAATAAGATAATGTTCATTCCCTCAACTCAATACTAAAGAGTTTGATAAATCCTTAATGATTTAAAAACAAAAAACAACAACAAAAACAATAAATGACTGAAAATATTTAAGTAACTGAACAATATCTATTTACAAATACAGTTAATTAAAATACAACAGACTTAATGCATTAAATCATAATCTAGTATGTTTAATATTTTATATAATAATGTATTCAATCATAGTGTAATATTTTATAGTAGAAAAATAGTGTAATTTATAAATCAATGAATTCAGGTTAGGCAAATTTTCCAACAGCAGGTGGCACTGTCTGAGAAAACGATAGGTCTGGAAGTGCTGGTCTGAGCGAGCAGGTCTGAGCGTGCGGTTGGGTCTCGGGGCCTGCAGCTTCATAATGTTGCCACAGAGACTTGGGGAATGGTCACCTACAGTGGTAGAAACGCGGAACTTTGTCTAGACACTGTTAACAGTGATACCTTCCCTACCCATGACAATGCTCTGCTAAATCCTGATTTCATCTTGTAACGCTGGACAGAATGTGGCCCAGGATCTATGTCCAGTGCACGTGTTAGCAGTTGCAAAGCAGCAAAATGATTGATCCGTCCCTGGGTGGGCTTGAACCACCAACCTTTCACTTAACAGCCAAACGCGCTATCCGATTGTGCCACAGAGACTTAGTGAAAAGTCACCTACAGTGGTAGAAACGTGGAACTTTGTCTCAAAAGGTCTGCTATATGAACCCTAATGTAAGTTTGCTGAGAGAGAGAGAGAAAAGTAACAGAAACGCCCAACGTGGGGCTCGAATCCATGACCCTGAGATTAAGAGTCTCATGCTCTACCGACTGAGCTAGCCAGGCGGATGAGGAGTCCCCACTAGAACTAGACACTGTTAAGAGTAATACCTTCCCTACCCGTGACAATGTTCTGCTAAATCCTGATTTCATCTTGTAACGCTGGACAGAATGTGGCCCAGGATCTATGTCCAGTGCACGTGTTAGCAGTTGCAAGGCAGCAAAATGCCTAATTCGTCCCTGGGTGGGCTTGAACCACCAACCTTTCAGTTAACAGCCGAATGCGCTAACCGATTGCGCCACAGAGACTTAGTGAAAGGTCACCTACAGTGGTAGAAACGCGGAACTTTGTCTCAAAGTCTGCTACATAAACCCTAATGTAAGTTTGCTGGGAGAGAGAGAGAAAAATAACAGGAACGCCCAACGTGGAGCTCGAACCCACCACCCTGACATTAAGAGTCTCATGCTCTACCGACTGAGCTAGCCGGGCTGATGAGATGAACTTTTAACAGCTAAACACTGTTTACAGTAATACCTTCCCTACCCGTGACAATGTTCTGCTAAATCCTGATTTCATCTTGTAACGCTGGACAGAATGTGGCCCAGGATATATGCCCAGTGCACGGTTTAGCAGTTGCAAGGCAGCAAAATGCCTAATTCATCCCTGGGTGGGCTTCAACCACCAACCTTTCAGTTAACAGCCAAACGCGCTAACCGAATGCACCACAGAGACTTAGTGAAAGGTCACCTACAGTGGTAGAAAGTCAGAACTTTGTCTCAAAAGGTCTGCTATATGAACCCTAATGTAAGTTTGCTAAGAGAGAGAGAGAAAAGTAACAGAAACGCCCAACGTGGGGCTCGAACCCACGACCCTGAGATTAAGAGTCTCATGCTCTACCGACTGAGCTAGCCGGGCTGATGAGATGAACTTTTAAGAGCTAAACACTCTTTACAGTAATACCTTCCCTACCCGTGACAATGTTCTGCTAAATCCTGATTTCGTCTTGTAACGCTGGACAGAATGTGGCCCAGGATCTATGTCCAGTGCACGTGTTAGCAGTTACAAGGCAGCAAAATGCTTGATCCTTCCCTGGGTGGGCTTGAACCAACAACCTTTCAGTTAACAGCCTAACGCGCTAACCGATTGCGCCACAGAGACTTAGGAAAAGTCACCTACAGTGGTAGAAAGGCGGAACTTTGTCTCAAAAGGTCTGCTATATGAACCCTAATGATAGTTTACTAAGAGAATGAGAGGTAACAGAAACGCCCAATGTGGGGCTCTAACCCACGACGCTGAGATTAAGAGTCTCATGCTCTATCGACTGAGCTAGCGGGGATGATGAGAAGCTCTTTTAGGAACCAGAAACCGTTTACAGTAATACCTTCCTACCCGTGACAATCTTCTGCTAAATCCTGATTTCATCTTGTAACGCTGGACAGAATGTGGCCCAGGATCTATGTCCAGTGCACGTGTTAGCAGTTGCAAGGCAGCAAAATGCCAAATTCGTACCTGGGTGAGCTTGAACCATCAACCTTTCAGTTAACAGCCGAACGCGCTAACCGATTGCGCCAAAGAGACTTAGTAAAAGGTCACCTACAGTGGTAGAAACGCGGAACTTTGTCTCAAAAGGTCTGCTATATGAACCCTAATGATAGTTTGCTGAGAGAAAGAGAGGTAACAGAAACGCCCAATGTGGGGCTCTAACCCACGACCCTGAGATTAAGAGTCTCATGCTCTATCGACTGAGCTAGCGGGGCTGACGAGAAGCTCTTTTAGGAGCTAGAAACCGTTTACAGTAATACCTTCCTACCCATGACAATGTTCTGCTAAATCCTGATTTCATCTTGTAACGCTGGACAGAATGTGGCCCAGGATCTATGTCCAGTGCACGTGTTAGCAGTTGCAAGGCTGCAAAATGCCTAATTCGTCCCTGGGTGGGCTTGAACCACCAACCTTTCAGTTAACAGCCGAACGTGCTGACGAGAAGCTCTTTTAGGAACCAGAAACTGTTTTCAGTAATACCTTCCCTACCCGTGACAATCTTCTGCTAAATCCTGATTTCATCTTGTAACGCTGGACAGAATGTGGCCCAGGATCTATGTCCAGTGCACATTTTAGCAGTTGCAAGGCAGCAAAATGCCTAATTCGTCCCTGGGTGGGCTTGAACCACCAACCTTTCGGTTAACAGCCGAACGCGCTAACCGATTGCGCCACAGAGACTTAGTGAAATGTCACCTACAGTGGTAGAAATGCGGAACTTTGTCTCAAAGTCTGCTACATGAACCCTAATGTAAGTTTGCTGGGAGAGAGAGAGAAAAGTAACAGGAACGCCCAACGTGGGGCTCGAACCCACGACCCTGACATTAAGAGTCTCATGCTCTACCGACTGAGCATCTCACTGGGCTGATGGGATGAACTTTTAAGAGCTAAACACTCTTTACAGTAATACCTTCCCTACCCATGACAATGTTCTGCTAAATCCTGATTTCGTCTTGTAACGCTGGACAGAATGTGGCCCAGGATCTATGTCCAGTGCACGTGTTAGCAGTTACAAGGCAGCAAAATGCTTGATCCATCCCTGGGTGGGCTTGAACCAACAAACTTTCAGTTAACAGCCTAACGCGCTAACCGATTGCGCCACAGAGACTTAGGAAAAGTCACCTACAGTGGTAGAAAGGCGGAACTTTGTCTCAAAAGGTCTGCTATATGAACCCTAATGATAGTTTGCTAAGAGAATGAGAGGTAACAGAAACGCCCAATGTGGGGCTCTAACCCACGACGCTGAGATTAACAGTCTCATGCTCTATCGACTGAGCTAGCGGGGATGATGAGAAGCTCTTTTAGGAACCAGAAACCGTTTACAGTAATACCTTCCTACCCGTGACAATCTTCTGCTAAATCCTGATTTCATCTTGTAACGCTGGACAGAATGTGGCCCAGGATCTATGTCCAGTGCACGTGTTAGCAGTTGCAAGGCAGCAAAATGCCTAATTCGTACCTGGGTGGGCTTGAACCACCAACCGTTCAGTTAACAGCCGAACGCGCTAACCGATTGCGCCAAAGAGACTTAGTAAAAGGTCACCTACAGTGGTAGAAAGGCGGAACTTTGTCTCAAAAGGTCTGCTATATGAACCCTAATGATAGTTTGCTGAGAGAAAGAGAGGTAACAGAAACGCCCAACGTGGGGCTCGAACCCACGACCCTGAGATTAAGAGTCTCATGCTCTACCGACTGAGCTAGCCGGGCTGATGAGAAGCTATTTTAGGAACCAGAAACCTTTTACGGTAATACCTTCCCTACCCGTGACAATCTTCTGCTAAATCCTGATTTCATCTTGTAACGCTGGACAGAATGTGGCCCAGGATCTATGTCCAGTGCACATGTTAGCAGTTACAAGGCAGCAAAATGCCTAATTTGTCCGTGGGTGGGCTTGAACCACCAACCTTTCAGTTAACAGCCGAACGCGCTAACCGATTGCGCCACAGAGACTTAGTGAAAGGTCACCTACAGTGGTAGAAACGCGGAACTTTGTCTCAAAGTCTGCTACATGAACCCTAATGTAAGTTTGCTGGGAGAGAGAGAGAAAAGTAACAGGAACGCCCAACGTGGGGCTCGAACCCATGACCCTAACATTAAGAGTCTCATACTCTACCGACTGAGCTAGCCGGGCTGATAAGATGAACTTTTAAGAGCTAAACACTCTTTACAGTAATACCTTCCCTACCCGTGACAATGTTCTGCTAAATCCTGATTTCGTCTTGTAACGCTGGACAGAATGTGGCCCAGGATCTATGTCCAGTGCACGTGTTAGCAGTTGCAAGGCAGCAAAATGCCTAATTCGTACCTGGGTGGGCTTGAACCACCAACCTTTCAGTTAACAGCCGAACGCGCTAACCGATTTTGCCAAAGAGACTTAGTAAAAGGTCACCTACAGTGGTAGAAACGCGGAACTTTGTCTCAAATGGTCTGCTATATGAACCCTAATGATAGTTTGCTGAGAGAAAGAGAGGTAACAGAAACGCCCAACGTGGGGCTCGAACCCACGACCCTGACATTAAGAGTCTCATGCTCTATTGACTGAGCATCTCACTGGGCTGATGAGATGAACTTTTAAGAGCTAAACACTCTTTACAGTAATACCTT